ACTAAACATCTGATATGTTCAACTTACCTGGCTGCACTTCATTGAGTTCAATACCGATATTGGCAAGCGCCGGCGTCGGCGTCGGGACACTTTGACTCGTTGGACTACTACCGTTTCCGGCGATAGTATTGGCGGTGCCACCAAGGGAGAGTCTGTGTGCACCGCAGGCAATAGTCTGGCCCATGTGCGACGTCGGCACTGCTCTATGAGGACTGAGTAGACCTGCAGGTGCATGCAACGGCGAGTTGCCCGGCGTTGACGTGTGCGAATGAGACGCATGAGTATGGCATCCACCCGTGCTCGGTGATCGACGCGCGTGATGTCTCGTGCTGCAAATAATTAGCAATCTAATTAACGGAATCATGAATTTGTCATTGTACACGAAAAACATTAGACGCATCAATTAAAATATGTCTTTTTTTGATATTTAATCGAATGAAATAAACGAATTGAAATGTAATTCGATAATCTGACACAAGTTCAAGCTTGTAAATGCAGGACGAATTGACAAAAAAAAAGGGAGAAAAAATAACAAGGGGAGACACGTGATAGGTTGTGCACGCGACATGTATGGATAACTGACGCTGTCACGCGATTTCTAGCCAGTTTGAAGCGAACCGCACAGCTGCCTATCTTTACACTGAACGTTTTCGCCGTTTACAATTGGCACGTTAATTTTATCGGCAAAACACGCGGGTGTTCTCGACTTTGTTCTTCACACAATAAGAATATAAAAATGACTTGTCGTCTGCAACATCGTTTTTACTTCTTTTTATTAAAATTCACGCTTATTTACCTCGACTGTCTTCTAGGCGTCAAAGGCGAGCCATGGCTGATTTGTCCGAGATTGAGCGCGGTACTTCCATTCACTCTACATGTATCCACCCGTTTTCTCGGCGGATCGGCCTCTAATTGTCCTGCGGATCCTCTCATGCTACTCCTCATTACCTCGAGCTCGTCCTCACACGCTGGTCTTCTTCGCTTCCTTTCTAGCAGTAGGAAGTATATCACCTTCTCCGTATTGTGGCTGAGAGAATATTGATGCATCAGATTCCTCAGTTGCTTTTCTCAATACTTTTCTCAACGCTCAACAGAAACTAAATGCAAAGTCTTTCTACGAGAAAGGAATATATTGTATCTTACTTTGGACTGAGCAGTTCTTGAATGAGTTTGTCGCGCTCCTTGAAGCAACCAAGACTTGCGATCGCTTGTAGCACGTCGGGATCGATTGCTTCCACGGACGGAATAACGTGCGTCTGCACTACGTCCATCATCGACAATTCCAATTCCAACTCGCCCTTTCCCGCCGCCGTTACCCAAATATGCCTATTTATTTCTGCTAACTAAAAAAAATTTACATTTATTCAGAAAAAATATCTTAGCGTTTGTAAATACATACATGTATCTGATGTTAACATGTTTAGAGAGAAAGAGAATATTGCAAATTTTTTTTATTTTTTTAAGAAACAGAAAAGAGCTCACCGTTAATCTTTTCTCGGGATCAACTTCAATCATGCCTCTGAGCAAATTCTGACATTCGGGCGGTACAAAATGTGGTATGTAAAACAATCCGCGCTTAACTTTCTCCAACAATTTTCTCAAATTGTCGTCGTCGAAAGGTAAGGCGCCTACTAGAAGCGCGTAAAGTATTACTCCACAAGACCATACATCTGCTTTTCTACCATCATACTTTTCACCCTATTAAAAGGAAGCAAACGTTATTTCATGACGTTGAACCCAAGTAGCTATTACTCGCTACTTAATATTTTTGTGTAATTTGATCGTAATTGATCGTACAAATTCATCACAAATTGATCGTAATTGAGGGCTCTTACTCTAATGACTTCGGGGCAGGCGTAATGAGGTGATCCGCAACTAGTCTCTAGCATAGAGCCCGCGGGTTGTAAAGACGCCATTCCGAAATCTGCTATCTTAATGTTATTCTTCTCGTCCAGCAACAAGTTCTCAGGCTTCAAATCTCTATGGCTAAAAGTGATAACAAAATCAAACGAGCAAGTCCGAGATTATTTCGTACAGACACAATTATAAGGTAAGCGATAATACACGCGACTCACCATATACTATGACTGTGGCAAAAATCTAATGCAGAAATTATTTGTCGAAAAAATCTCCTCGCTTCTTTTGGGGTCAGTCTGCTCTTTTTAACCAAATAATCGAACAGCTCCCCTCCTGAGACGTGTTCCAGAACAAGATATCTTGAACAAATTTAGGAAACGTGATATTTTTGCCTTTATTAACTTTAATATTTTACATTTTCATCAATGTACTTACAGATATTTCTTGTTTTCATATACATCCGAGAGCCCGAGCACGTGCGGATGATCGATTAGTTTCATAATGGCGATCTCACGCTCCACTTTCATCAACACAGACTCCGAAAGCTTTTCGCGGTTGATAATCTTGATTGCCACCTTCTTCCCCAACACACAATGTATGCCAAGCTTAACTAAACCTAAAATTTAAAGATAACACAATATTTATGCAAGTATATACATATAAAAAGTCAATAAAAAAATTTCTCTATATTATTTGTCATTAAGTAGACTATTTGATTTCTATAGCACTATGATAATTGTAATTTTATTTTTTGCTTTGATATAATTCCAAAATTTTTAATTATTAATTTGCCATTCTGCGATCATAGAAAAATTAAAGAAAAATAGTTGAACAAAAAAAATCAGTGAAGATGTCGATGTGGAACGTCTTGAATTATTTGGGGATTGAATTATTTCTTGAGAATACGATGGTATGTAAACACACTATTATCCTGGACAGACACAATGATTTTACTCGAGTGGTTTGACATTCTTTCCGCTTGGTAAATTCTAGGAAGTTTGGCAGCGTAGGCAAATTTCTATTAAAAATCACTTTTCGAGTATTTCGGGTAAACATAATTTTATTAATTTGCTGTATCAAATTTCGGAACAATTCAAGTTAATCAAATACAAACGCTTTGATTTTTTATTATTCGATTTTATTATCTATTAATATATTGACAATTTTAGTTACTTTCAGTCTATCTTATGTGTCTTGCGTAATGAAATAGTTGGCTAATTACATTTATTTCACATCCATTTTTTATTTATTAATGTATTCAATATCTTTTTTATGCACTTGGCGTATATATTTTCTTTTTTTAAAAAGATTTTTTAAGAGATTATTCTTTTCGAGAAAAACTATTTCTGTATAATTATCTATACAGATCGAATAATTACACACTATTGTGATCGGCTGAATTCGCGGTAATGTACGGATATGTGATAATGCTTTAATCAAACGCATGTTAATTCGCGCATAATTCGCCTGTTATAATCACGAGAAATCTTTTGTTGATTAAATTCTTGTGAATTCTATGATAAAGAATACTACATCATTTTATAGCTATTAGTTACACTAATTAACATATAAATCATTGATCACATTAAGGACAAATTACAGGAACTTATTATAATTGAAAAAATCAACAGATTTATGATTTTTTATAACGACGAGTGATAAAAAAATGATTCAAAAAGAAGAGCCAATGCAGAAATGGGATTTATGAGGTTGATACAAAATTGATTTAAATCGCCATTGGAAGTCCACGAATCGCGCCACACAATGTCTTTATCCACTTAAATGGCTGCGCTATGACGATGACTGTACATGGCTTAAGCAGATAATTAAGGGAAGAAGAAAAAAGAAAAAAAACACAGAAAAAAACTGTCTGTTGTGAGATAATGATGGAGAGCAATTAAGAATCCTCGTAACAAAGTCATATCTGAAGGATTAAGAGATTTAATCCTAAATAAAGAAGATCTTGTGTCGCTTTACACGACGATTACATAAAAATTGCGAGCATTAATGCAGGTCCTCAGGCGCAAAGTGATCGATGTGTTTTGATTACTTGAGTGAAAAATAATATTTCACGTGCGCATCAGCTTCTCTGTATCTGTATTGCATACACTTATTTACATATCATCTAAAAATATATTACGTTTCTATGACGTTACGCTAGTATGTTATAAATAGTCCAAGATATTTTTTATGATCGATGGCTATCATCTTTCAGCCATTCTCAATTGAAACGCGTGAGATTGTCTCGTCTGTGATTGACGAGATGACAATTCCTATGGAATTAAACGAACGCGACGTTTCCCATCAAATTCGGTGGCAATTGCATTAGTGGTTATTGAGACCATCGAGAGTTAAAGTGCACTTCCCTCTAACGATTTACGTCATCCATGATTTAACGGTGACGATAGCATATGTGCATTTGTAGAGAGAAACCTTCGAATCCGTCACATGCAGTTTAGAAATTTATATTTACCGAGATAAAATTTTACATAAATCTATAAACAAGTTACATCTTATTGTTAATATGTCCAAGAACTGATTGTGAAACGTCTAACAACGAATTCTTTCAATACATAAATTTCAATACATAAATTTATGATATTAAATTTAATCTTGAATCTGCTTTCGAATACCTGGTAGAAAAAGTAAAAAATAAGTTTTATGTAAAAAATAATTTATATAAGTTTCCAATGAGCAGAATGTCTAAAATCGACGCATAAGCAACTTTGAAATTTTTAAAAAAACATCTTTTGGATATAAAGAATTCTGAAAGATATCTTAAAATTATATATTTTATGCGTCGATTTTAAACATTCTACTTATTGGATTAAATCATTAAAGCCTGAGTATATCAATTTTCGTTCATTTTTTTCAAAATCGATTCACACACTAAGCTTTTACTCGAAGATTTTTCGTACGTCATTTAGCATCTCCGTCTTTCTTGCGAGAACTATCGTAATGTTATTATTTTTCTTTCTAATGTTTCCATCGATTTCGTCAATTATAATTCAAACCATGTGCACTCATGTTGCGAGCATGAGCGGCAATTTCATTACCCGTTCGCGCGTGGGTCATGGAATTCAAAGCGTGGAGAGGAATTCATTCGTATGATTAACGTGCCGTATTGTCACGTGCCAGAGCATGCACCCCTTTCGAGATGCATACGGGATCGATATAGTCCATCGGAGGAAATGACCACCACGAGACCCATCCGCTGAAAGCCGAGCCGCGAATTCATTAACGAGCTTTTGCAAAATTACGTGTTGATCGAAGAAGCAAATTGTGTTTCTATTTAAACCTCGCATCTGCGTCGCAAGTTCCATTTCTAGATATTACATCTAAATAAAAAAATGAATGGAAAGTAAAAAGTGTTTATTGAAAAAGAGAAGAATGTCTCATTTCAACATCGCTAATTTACTCTTGCATTTACACGCAGAGTATACGCGTAAGGCGAATCGGCGAAAATTCTTTTTTCTTTAATACGTTCATTGTCGACATTATTACTTTCCAGTCCTCTTGCTGGTGACACTTAATTAAAAATGCGTATTAAGATTTAATGCTTCATAAAGATTTACAATTGTCGTCGAGTCTTTTTCGTACAGCGTGATACAAAGCGAGGAGCTCTTAAACTTTGAACTATAACCACATTTGTTATTAGAATACCAAGTTACAAAACAAGAATAGATATTTAGAAATTATATTCTCTATTGTTTTCTTCTGCTTTTTTATATTCTTTTGATGATTCATGCGTTCCTCTTCAGTGGCATTTAAAGGGATCTTAAAATCTGTTTTTTACTAATTATTTTTTAAATAAGTGTTTTTCTAACTGCTTTTATATATACAGATTTAAAAATCCTTCTCCACAATTAAAGTATAAGAGATAATGTAATTCAAACCAATCGACTTTATGTCGAAAACAAAAAAAATAAAATTAAAGTTTTGTTATCGGCTTCTGACGTTGACTCGCAACAATATTTGCTTTCTATGTACAAGTTTTATACTTTGTATGTATAAAACAATCTTGGTTTGGATTAGGGATTACATGAACAAACAATATTGTGTTCTTAGAATTAGGCTTAGATACTTCATATAAAAAATTAATTATAGTTAGAAAATTTGTACGTATTTATGCGATATTGATGTAATAATGTGTAGTAATATATCAATGACACGTAATTGTATGTATGTAAGGTAATATAGATAGCTTTAGAATCTCCTTAAAGGGAATATAATCTGATTCTGTCAACTTATAATTATGCAGCAGTAAACAAATGTAATTTTCTTATACTATATTTTAGATATGCGATATTATTATAGATATGCTGATTACCCTACTCGAAAACGTTGCTAATTCTCTGTCTGCCATAACCGTTACATGACATAATTAGTACGCTGTCAGTATCGATCGTATAATAGCATCGAATGCCTTTGAGGTGAGAGCAAATTAGTATGGCGTTAAACTTCCCTCTCTGCAAATTCTGGACGCGCGAGTTCTTCATAAAATATTGATTCTGTAAAACATTTGTTCTTTTATTTATTTCTTTTATAATTTATTCCGCAAAAATGAACTTTTCAGTCAGAAAATATTAAAAAATAAATTGGAGTAATTAAATTTTAGATGAAAAGCTCATTTTTGATCATAAATACTACCGCAATACATTACAAGATAAAACTTCATATTGCAATTGAAACTTCTGACGCTTGCACAAGTTTACAGCATTATATTGAGAAAGAAAATTGTTCATTTGACTAATTTAATTTAGTTATCTTCATTTCTTTCAAGATATTTAACTTAAATATTTAATATACTCTTCATCGAAAGAAATAAAAACTAAATTAATTTAATTAAATGAACTATTTTTTTCTCAGTGTATCATTTGTAAATATGTATGTGCAACAGTATTTCAAAATATTGTTTGGTTTAAGTCTCCTCGATGTATAGTAAGTTACATAAAATGTGTATATCTATTCTTCGAGAATTTGCACGTGTCGTACGTAGTTACTCCAACGACTAATTCGTATTTGAATATGAAATGAGAGTAGAATGATATGCATGAAGGCAAAAAAGTCAAATTGAATATTCGAATTGAACCGATAGCCTACGAAAATGCATTCGGCAACAGTGTCATAAAGCTAATAGTCTTGTCGCGAAATGGCTTCGATTTGATCCTATTACCGCTATAATTCACTATTACCGCGAAATAACTCGCATTAACCATCATGTACCTGTTACAAATTTTTCTTTCTATTTTCGTATTGTTGCGAGAACAGAATTCTCAATTTTTGTAGATTCAAAAGACATAAAAATATATCCTCGTTTCGGAAGCTTGCGTGGGCAGTGAGATAATCTGTGAGAATTACAAATGTTCTGTCACAATGCGGCAAACCTTGAAGTCCTGCGAAAGTTTCGCGATAAATTTGTATCGATCAACGTATCATTAAACCTTAACCGTTTAATCTTTTTCAATTAAAAAGGTGTAAAACAGAGTTTAAAGCTCTGTAACTGAGAAGCGTGTTGGCGAGATCTCGTATATTTTCTCGAATACGGAACTTAATTGAACATTCTGACTCGACTTGATTAGACATTCCTGTGGCTATCGTCGATCGCAATAACGATTGCAACGGAGATTTGTAACAGAGGGGGGGGAGGAGGAGGAGGAGGAGGAGGAGGAGGAAGAGAGAGAGAGAGAGAGAGAGAGAGAGAGAGAGAGAAAGAGAGAAAAGGAGCAAGAAAGAGGGGGAGAGCATGCACCACCCACCAGTCTGGCCTTTCCCCAAGGTCTTTTCCAACCGATACGGGCCGACGTACTGATGGGTCTCCTGGGTGTTGGACCCAACGGGGCTCTCCTTGCCCTGCATCGCCGCTGAACCACTTCCTTCCTCTTGGTCCGCCAGGTTGAAGGGTTGTTTTATAAGAACGGCCAAACAGAGTTGAACTTCGATCTTTCCTCACTTTTCGTTCTCTTCGCTCGCCGTTATCACTTTCTTGTGAATTTTAGTACCGGTCTTCTGTGTCCTATCGCGATTTCACGCGACATCGTGCTCTTTGTCGTGATTTGTGATGGAATACGGAAAATGTTTCGAAGATAATTTAATGAATAAATTGACTTCGAGTTGGCGTATATTTTTTCAATTTCATTCGGGCAGCAATTCAAAGATAATCATTGCGATATACACGTCAAATATCATTTTATCATCGGTATTCGTCCATTCCTTTTCGGAGAACATCGCGTAAGTTTCAAGATTCGAGCACAGGTTATTTACGAATATCGTCGGATCGTTGCCTCTTTTTCGCTCGAATTAATCGACAACTGTAATCGACGACTTGTAAATTGCGTGTCGTATACATTCCTCTCGTTGTCACTAGCTCAGATTTTTATTTTTCGATAAAGTAACATTCATGAACGAGAAGCGATGAAAGACACCGCTAAATATCCCCAGGCGAGAGCATCACGCACCTGAATTCACTGCATTCACTATCATCGTGACGAATTTGACATAATTTTCTTTTATCTTTGGCGGATGCTTCTTGCGTATTCTTTTCATATTGCCTCTTTCACCGTATACTGACGAGACTATCGGAGACGTTTCAAGGAATGTCAATTAACTGGTGTAGTCTACTCATTTAAATCAGCAGAGAATCGAATGGATGATAGACACAGGGATATATACGGCTATATATTTACAAATATGCCTGCTGTTGTTGCATTAGTCGATCGTGGCCGGCCACGATTCCACAAACACGAAATTGGGCGCCATTGTGATTCGAGGAGAGATTCCACACGGTGGAATCCCTTGCTTCGTCGAGGACGTAGTTCAGCCCTGACGAAATTGGCCGCTTTTGATCGGTGGCGGTGTCGCAGCTCCTCTACTTTATAACGGTTCTCCTCTCGTTACGCCAATCCTTTACTATCAAAATTCTATTCAACTCTCGTTGATCATATCCATCCTGCTTGGCACTCGACGAATTTTACTTGGCGGCGATGTTTTAAAATTTCTCAGACACCCTCGGAGATCGGGCAGAACGTGTGTAAACTTGAAGAAGAGACCACCCTCCTTTTCCAAAGTCGCACCATCACTCTATCCCGCGTGCACTTGTGCATCGATGATATCGCTACAGTCGAGCGATAAGCAGCGTGATTACACTTGCAAGACCGGGCTGCAAATCGAAACTTTTTGTCACGACGAAAAGGATCTCACGAAGAATCTCTCCCTCACTTCACGTTTTTATACGTTTCGCATTTATCTTCTTTCGTTTTGGCGAAACTATGTTCTCATTTTAGAAATGAAATTTAGCTCCGTCTTACAGAACTGACGACGGCCACCACGGCGCTCCCAGTTCGATTATGTGCCGGACATACAGAGGGGGTAGAAAGTGCGCGCGCAATCCCACGCCCGCAAACGAGGAGACCCTTTCCACCCTCTGCGCGCATGGGAAACCACCACCGACCGAAGGCGACGGGAGGGTATCAGACTGAACTCGGGAAAACGTGGCGGAGAGAGCAGCCGCGTGTCTACCTTCGGGGGTAGTAGAGTGTACGATATGCGGGGGTGGCATTGCCGCCACGTCCCGTCGGTACAGTAACGATCACCGATGGTTCGCGTCCGAGCTTTCGTTCGTGGTTGAGTGAGTTTTCCGTCATGCGAGGGTGTTCACAGCTCGGTTTTTTTTTCTGGTGCTAATTTTATCTCTTAGTCAGAAAGCATTAAATAGTTCGTCTCACTCTTTCATTAAAAAGTGATGCACTCTACCTCGGATAGAGTTTCAAAGTTACATTATACATAAATAATATATAGAAGGTAATATGTAATATATTTATATGCGTAATTTTGACATAATATATATAATAACTTATATTGTATGGGGAAAAATATTTTTTATCTTGTTTTCTTTAGGATCATTTTATGCAAACAAAAAATAATGCTGTAATCTAATGGCAGTATGTTTAATAAAATGAAAACTATTTGGATGATATATTTTATTAGATAGTATACTACATATATATCCAACATTTTTAACATTTTGTACAATTGTCACAAATAAATATAATATGTAAATATTTTTTATACAGTGAGAATAAAAAAAAGCATTTGCTTAGAAACAAAGTCTGCTAAATTTATTTTTTCTTTATTTATTAAATCCTTATTTATTTAATCGTATTATATATTCTATATATTTTTAGTTAAGAAAATTTATCTAAAAATATAAATAAATATTATCATTTTATCATTTTATTTGTACTATTTGCGCAATTAATAATGACGCTTACTAATTATATTTTTTGTTCGTTGTTTTATTAGCGGCACGTGTATTTAATTGAGTTTGACAAGTGGTTAAAATATACACCGAACAACTTTCCATTTATTGGTTGAAACGAGTAATAATACCTCGCGACAAAGTCAGAGTTATATTGTTGTCTCGTGGAGAGAGAGTCGTTTCCGTCTCAAACGATAAAATGTGATTCTTCAGCGACAGAAATGGAATGCCGGAACTGCATTCCGCTGTCATTGATGTAACTCGCTTGACTGTCAACGTTTTAACTGACTGTGACGGAAGCCAAGGGGTTGTCGACTTATTAGACATAGACCTAAACTACTTTCGTCCTATTGTGATGGAAAAAATTGTTCTTTGATTAATAATTCGATTCAATTTATTATGAAATAATTATTATATTTAATATAAAAATAAAAAGATAAAGTAGTTACTTTTGCTTCCGTATAAATGCGTTAAAAATCGAGATTTAATTTAAAAATTGCTGTGCGTAATCTTCTCTCTTCGATTATTGCAACTAAAAACAGCATGTAATGATTAAATTTATTTAATATAAAATTAGAGATGAAATGTTTCATAATATTTTCCAGTAACAGGATCAAAGTTTGTGTGAAAGTTTTCGCTATGTGGATATCATGTATTATTCATAGTAGAATTAGGTGAAATAAAGATTGCTGATCCCTTTCTGTACTAATTAATCGTTTATTATCTTTAATTAACTAAAAAATTCTATTTTATAGCTTTCTTTCAAATTCAATATCAGTGAATATGGATAATAACTCATAACTATAAATAATTAAATGTTATGTACGAATTGCATTTCTTACATTAAGATTTGTTATTTTTTAAATATCATCTTATCCCACCTTATACCAATATCTATATTAATTATTTCCAAACAATCTTTTGTTGCATATTGTAATAAAATATGAAGCGTATTAGAAAACGTTTGTTAAATCATCTCGAATAAGCGGAAATAGCTTCATCTTGATCTTGATCTAAACGAATCGTTCGCTTTCGTAGGGGAGGATTTGCAGGAAAAAGGAAGAATTTCTCTGTATTGTGGTACCTATTAAACGTAGCAGTTAATTCTTTCGGAGAGGGAACGAGCGAGAGAGAGAGAGAGAGAGAGAGAGAGAGAGAGAAAGAGAGAAGAAGTATAACGGAGGCACTTCTCTCGATGAGGCGCGTGTATAAATATGCAAGGAAAATTACCCGCGCCTTGGCGTGAGCTACCATGAGGAGAGCTACTTGCAGAGGCAAAGTGTACTATACAGGGTGATCCATAAACCTGAATATAGAATCTACAATGTTTGATATTTTTGATATTTTTAAGAAAAATTAAATTATTTCTATAAAGGTAAAGTTTTGTGTTTTGTTGTTTTCCAATAAAAATGTTTTTATTTTTATTATAACGAATGTTATTCATCTTTTTTGCTTTTTACATTTGAACAAGAGTAAAATAAATTTAAAATATTTATCTTTTTAAAGTTAGTAATGAAATGGTTAAAAGAAGATGCAGAAGAAGAACCGGTTATAAACCACCCCATAGATTCAGTTTGCAAGCGAGCGAGAGAGAAAATTACAGTATGGTAAAGAGACGGGATCATAGGAGAGTGAGAGAGAGAGAGAGAGAGAGAGAGGGAGGGAAGGATAACAGTCGACGGTACAAGAGGAAGGGATATAGGGTGCTTAGGATCGATAGATATATAGAGGTAGAAAGGAACATAGGAAGCGTCTGATACCTGGGAAACTTCTGGGGGTGGTTTCTTACGAGGTGATTCAACTCCAACTAACAAGCCGTTTTTCAATACTGATCGATAATTCGACCATTCATTTTTACATCAAATTTTCTCGTTTCAGCAATCACGACATAAGATTATCACTGATGTAATTATTATCAAAATTATTGTATAAATAGATTTACATAAATAATTTACATAAATGGGATTTCATATGCTTTTCTTCAGAACAAAATAAATGATGTATGCGTTATATGCAACAAGTAAATTGGTAGAATCAATTAATTATAATGTATATAAATTAATTCACGAATTAAATTATAAATTTTTTAGAAGAAATGTCCTTATCTCTTTTTATTACTTATTAAATTAACTATTAAACAATAACTTGAGTGCAAATTTTTATATTTTTAATATATTTTATAAAAAAACTGAAGAACTATATTATATTAATAAATAAGAGAAATTTTACACTCTGTTATGTGTGTATTATCTGTGTTCTGCAGATATCCTGGATACAAATTTGAAGTTAAACATCAAGAACGCGCGAGCTTCAGGTTTTGACAGCTCAAGTACAAGCTATTAATTGGTCTGGCATCGTCCTTTACTGTCCTCTGCAGAACCAGATAATCGTCATAAATATGCACGGTTAAATTACAATGAATCAACAAAAATATTTGCTTACTGTTTGTCATAAAAATTTAATAGAAACAAAAATTTGGGAACAGAAAAAAGTAGATATATGCATTACGTGTAAATTTGGATATATGTTTGAGGCTTCGTCAAATATTTAATCAGGGACAGTCGAGATTAAACTGACAATTTTATGGTGATAGTGGAGATAT